TTGGAGTCCTAACCACCGGTGTCTTGGTCCCTGTACCCGATGTCGGTGGTCTACTATTTTTTATATTTTTAAATGTATTTTTTTATAATTTTTTATAAAGTGTATGTTTAAAAATGTAAATAATATGTATATAAAGTAAATAAAGAGAATAATAATAATACTTTATTCAAAACCTTGTTACATTTGCACAATAATTAATTTTCACAATATACAGATACACAAAGAATTTAGACATTATAATCAAATAGCATTGTTTCTAGATCGCATGAAGCTTCCATGAAAAGCTTAAACACGTAATTATTATTCGTAGTATCTGTAGTCCGACCCTGTTTTATTTACCTTCGTGTAATTAGAGTACATATCAAACAAGCCCCTCGACACGTTGGCAGGACACGACTGTCAATAATGTAGCGTACATTAGTTCATTTCTCCCGGGCACTTAGGCAACAATTAGTATAACAATCCACTTCAGTGACGTCCACAATTCACTGTCTTTAATGGTATGTTAACATTTGATCCGTGTGATAATTGTGTAGGTAATGTACCACTCATTATATTGTATGGTAAACTGGCGTTGGCGTTTTACAAATTTTAGTTTGATTTAACTTCCATTTTAACTTTTTATTTAAATGTCAAAAAAGACTACTTACACTTCAAACCCTTCAAAACTTATACTTACACCCAGGACAAATTTTGTGTAGAGCATGATCATTTGTGCTGTGTCTGGGTTTAATTTATCTATAATATGTATGTCTTTAAAAAATATATTATAATTATGTTTATTAGCAGTCTGGTCACCATAGCACAGGGTCTGCCTAGTTTGGGATCAGACGGCCGTGTGTGAGATGTGTGAGGTATATTATATTATTATTATTAAATTAACTGTGTAACATAAACTTCAGAATGTTGTTCGTGGTCGTTTATTTTGGTTTCAAATATTCAAATGCCGAAAAAATCTCATACATATTTTACAAATTAATCGGTAAACGATGAAATATAAAAAATATGTACAAACACATTTATATTATACATCGAGTCTCATATTTTCTTTCTTTTATTTAGCATCTTTATGGGCAAAAAGTTAAATGACAATGACAATTCACGTATTGTAAGAGGTATAGGATACAACTCAACAGTAATTCAACACAAAACAATAATCACGACAATTTGACTAGCGTGCAGGAATCATGCATTAGCTGTATTAGCCATTTCAACATAGCTGTAACTGATGCAGCACCGTTACCTATCATAAAAGGATAATGCTGTTAATGCTATATTTTGCATCATAGAAGATGTTCTAGTATAGTATCCATTTCGAATCTAAAGACGTATCTATGAACAACCTGAAATGTTCGTCGATTAATCATTACCATCCCATTCTTTGTAATTCACATAACGTGTGCAGCATAAGAAACAAATGCTTCTGAACAAAGTAAATTGAAACAAATAGGTGACTGTTAACTAGCACATCAAGAACCCCATGGGACAGTTCAGATTCCATACAACACCCTTTGACGGCTCGGATTCTCATTACGGGAGCCGGATAATCTATTTTCTGATCCGTAAGGCCGTAACAAACAAACGGAAAATAAAACTTTTCGGTTCGTAAGTTCCTAGTGCGAATTAGATAATGGTTATTACTTGGTAGTATAAGCATCGTAAAAACGAACTGGATTTTACCTCTGTATTATTAATATTATTATACAGGGTGTAAGGGACATTGTAATGAATACTGAAATAGTGTATTCAGACCATCATTCTGAGTCTATAATCATTGGACTTTTTATGCAATCAGCTGTTAAAGATAAAGGCCATTTCTCGTAGGTATCGCACAAAAATGAAATGTTCTTACTCATTGTGATATTATTTTTGACCAAAAAAATTAAAAATTATGAAAAAAATGATGATATTTCTAGCATTTCTTAGCAAAACGACACTGTCTCACTCAATTTCATATTACTTTTATAAATCACTGTCCGTGTGGTGACGGATTAAGAATACAGAGTGTCATCGCCCCTATTCATCCAGTGGGTGTCGTAAGAGGCGACAAAGGGAGCAAACTACGCTGGACAATAGCACTGCAAAGAGAAGAAAAACTTGTAAGAAACCCTATAACTACCATTCTGGGCAGCGTGGCATAGTAGGCCAAAAGCTCCTTTCTAAAGAGATGCCCATGTCCAGCATAAGACTATTAGAGGCTGCTGATGATGATATGAATATTATGTCTATAAAGTAGACAACTCCTTTAGATATTAATTTACTTTAAAAAGTAATTTTGTTAATTTGGCAAACATTTATTTATTTTATAATTATAGTTGGCAGAATAGTTATAGCGGTAATAGTTAAAGTTTGAGCCATTGCTTACATTTTATAATATTTATTTCATTGCCCTTCCTTCATGCCTGCTTTTTGTTTTTAATATATTTCCAATTTCAATTCCAATGTTTAGCAATAGATTACCTACCACCTGAATTTCAATAGCGATTGAGGCTTTTAACCCGGCGGGAGGCGCGCCCTTATTCAGGACACAAACAGTCACTATTGGGTAAAAATACCACATTTCACGAATGCAATAATCAAATTGTAGGTGTATTAATTAGTGAGTATAAATTAAAATAACATAAATATGTACATAATTTAAAATGATAACGTGTTAAATAATATGTTATGTATTTATTTCGTCTCCTAATTTTATATATGAAGTTAAATCACTAATTGCTAGTATTTTTTTTCTTATATCTATGAACTTAGTGACGAAAATAGCCTTAAACTTGGTAATACTACTTAATTACGCCTTAGATCAATCACAAAAGACTATAATAGTATCTCACTTATAACATAAAACACTTACAACATACACAGGTGGTCTGAAAAGTTTCCGACCTCAACACGAAGATGGCAGCACTCGTGAATGAAAGCTAGTGAATTTCGTTGTTCATCTGTTGTTATGTAACAGTCGTTTGAGTGAGTTGATGTGAGTGTTTTTATGAAAATGGACAAAATCGAGTATTGAACTGTCATTAAATATTTGTTTTTAAAGGGCAATACGCCTACGCAAATCAAAAATGAGTTGGATTCTGTGTATAGGAACTCTGCACCATTATTTACCACAGTGAAATGTTGGGCAGCTGAATTCGTTAGCTGAAAACGTATCCGTAAGAGGTTGGGAGACGATGAACGGTCGGGACGTCCAAAAACTGTCGACGAAAACATCGCCAAAGTTCACCAAATGGTGCTAGACGACCGCCGAAGAACGTGTTTGTCACATATAAATCAACATTTAGACATGAGAAAGCTGTCCGTACGTTGGGTACCGCGTTTGCTCACGTTACACCAAAAACGTGTTCGAATGAACATTTCCAACGCTCTTTTCGCTTTTTGATGAAACTTGGATGCACCATTATACGCCCGAAACAAAAATACAGTCCAAACAGTGGACTGCAAGGGGGGAACCAGCTCCAAAAAAGGCAAAACCTGTTTTTTTGGCTGGGAAGGTAATGGCGACTGTTTTTTTGCGATAGTCATGGAGTTTTTTAATCGATTATCTCCAAAAAGGAAAAACCATTACAGGAGCATACTACGCATCATTCACGAATTCAGAACTTGCGGAAAAAATGCCACATTTGCAGAAAAAGAAAATCCTGTTTCACCAAGACAACGCACCTTCGAAAAGCCACGAATTACGGTCTGAACTGCTTGACCATCCGCCTTACTCACCAGATCTAGCCCCAAGTGAAACATTGCGCTCGGAGGACAGAGATTTTTGTGAAATCAAGAGGAAAAACGCCGAGTACTATTTGGTTACAGAGATGGGAGCATCGCTGGGACAAGTGTGTAGAGTTACAAGGAGGCTATGTTGAAAAAAAAAAACGTTACGCATGACAAGGAACTTAGTTGGGCATTTTGCAAAGCGTTCTTCTGTGTAATGTCTGTATCAATATTTTTTTCTGTGGCGAGCTCCTCTCGGATACCACCCACCAGTGGCGTGGTTATGTCGGTCCCGAACGGTTGTTATAAATTAATGGATTGTTTGAATACACTCATTGATGTCTGAAACTACAAGTTAAATTTGAATAAATATTCAAGTTAAATTTATTACACAAAGGGCATTCTCCTTGTGTTGAATAGACTATTAATTTAATAACTGCTAAGCGCTCTGTCTTAGCAGTCAGCCAATTCATGGGTTCGATTCCCACCTAGGACAAATAATAATGTTATGAGCACGATCTTTGTCTGGGTCTAATTTATACATATTTAGTATAGTTAAGTACGTGTATCAGCAGTCTGGTTACCATAGCACAGGCTCTGCTTAGTTTGACTTCAGACTACCGTTTGTGTGATGTTATTATTATTAATTGATTATGAATACAGACTGTATAACTTTCCATTACGATAATTAGAGGAAGGGAGTGACCATAAACGCATGTGGCACTGCGGGGAATGGATAGTATCATTATAAATGCAAACGTGCTTTTGTTTATTTGTTCTGCTTTCACGCCTTAACCACTCAACAGACCCTCGTTAAAATTTGCATACGCACTTTAAGGGGTGCAGAAAAACTCGCCGGGTGGCTTCATCCGGTAAAAAAGTAAATAAACAATTTTATGGTGAGCAAAGCTCTGGCTTAAATCTAATACTATACCTTACACAGAAGCATTCATATTATTCTGCCGTCAAAAAATATGCCTGAAAATTAAAATTCTCTGGTACATGATAATAAATTAAACTCACAAGTAACTTATAATCATGCCAACAACTTTATTTATTAATCTAGTTTACTCCTATGACTAGACTAACAAACTAATAAAGTATTAAAGTTACCATTGTCCTACTATGTAGGCACTACGAACTACCTCTATGTATCGTCTAGCTATCATAAGCGAACATTTGTAAATTTAAGCATTTATTAACAATTTAAATATTTAACTAATTAATTCAAATTTAGAATTTATTGTTCACTTCAATGGTATCCTCTACCTACCTATTACTATACTCTAGAATTAATTTAAATGATCTATGGATTGTTTGCGATTTTTTGCCATTCCTAACAAAATGTTATCAGTAGAAGCTGTTATAGAATTTTGTAGAATGTCATCTTTACTTGCCATTGAATGATAATCATTCATTTCCGACCATGCTGGGTCGGACTTAGCAATTCGTTTCCTTTCTTTTATCTTTGTATATAATAAAACCGAGACCATGATAAAGAAAACAACAAACCCTAACGAGCACCCAACTATAAGGCCCATGCGCCGGTTCAAAAGCGATGAAATTGCAAATTTTTTAATTGGCTTAGTTTTGACTACCGATGGTTTTCTAAATGTGTTAAATAAGACGCATTCATTTGATGAACTTCGGATCAATATCGCTGCTGCCATATCTTGTGTTATTCTGGCAGTAGAATTTGAACTATCATCTATAGTGTTATTGACTTCAGAAACAATTTCATCTTCGTAGTCCACTGGATCCTCAGAAAGTGCAATGACGCATACCGTATAGTTGAAATTTGGTTCTAAGTCGCGAATATGAACTGAGACATCACTTTTCTCCAAATACTTTGACTTCACCTGAAATAGATTCTGATTAGAAACTTAGTTAGACTTTAAAAAGTAATCTATGTTGAACATAATACTTACATCATTATTGCCATCTTCGCCATAATATAAAATCTGTAGAGCTTTAATGGCTGTACGGTTTCTTATAAACCATGACACAGACACGGAGTTATCCTTATGTTTGTCAACCGATAGTTGAGATATTACTGGGACATCGCATTTTTCTTGTGGATATTCATCATTGTAACATATAACCGCATTTGACTTCATTATTTTAGGGTGATCTTGAATCCAAACCCAAGCATTATCTTTTTTGCAACTGCATAGAATGACATTTCCTGTGAATGTAACATTTATTAAGAATTTCTTCTATAAAATAAAGTAATGAATGTGAAGAACTCCCATACAAACCTTTTATTGATATTTCCTGAATGTGATTTTCAACAGAAGTTAGCAATTCTATTGGTATACTTTGGAGTTTGTTATGATCCAAGTCGATTTGTATAATTTTATTCAAACTTCTGAAGGCGGTTACTGATATGTATTTAATGTTATTGTGACTCAAGTATAATACTGTTAACTCCTTTAAGTTTATGAGGTCTTCATTGAGAATGTTTTGTAACTTATTGTGAGCCAAATCCAGAAGTTTTAAATTACTCAACTCTTCAGCGAAAGATTCCATTGATTCGATGTTATTATTTGATAAACATAAGGTCCTCAACTTAGTTAACCCACGGAAGTTGCTCGTTTTAAGTTGAGAAATTCTATTATAGCTTAGATCTAAATTTTCTAAAAAAATTAACTTTGAAAATGGACTTACAGAAAGACGTCTTATTTGATTAAATTTGAGATAAAGATGTTGTAAGCTGGTAAATAATTCAAATGTTATATCGTCAATATTAGTCATGTTAGTGGCACATATATGCAATTCGTATAAGTTGGCTATCAATGTGTTATTATCGAGCTTTCTCGGTGAAGACCAAGCTATCACCGGATTTTTACTGAGATCAATATTGATTAGTGAAATACCAAACTTTTTATAAGTCAATAAAAAATCAAAACGAATAATATCATTGTGAGATATATTAATGTTTTGTATATTTGGAAATAAATCAAACACAAAAAGTGGAAGGTTTTCTAGTTTGTTATAGCTTATATCGAATAGCATTAGATCTTGAAATTCAACTTTCTTGCTCGCTGTTAAACTTTTAATTTCATTTTTTTTAAGAATTAAATACTTTAATTTGGTTAATTTTTCAAATCCGCTTAGCTCTACTCTAGGTATCAGATTATCCGTAAGATCTACACTCTCAACACTCGTCAAATTTTGAAAATTGTTATATGGCACGTAATCTAAAAAGTTATTACTAATATTGAACTCAGCAACGGAATTCTGCAATTCAAACAATGTAGAAGGAATAGTACTAATTATATTTTGTGCCAAATTCAGTCTTAATATATTTTTATTATGCTTGAATGTGCCTTCAAAAATATGTTCAATGTTGCAATGTTCCATGTAAAGAACTTCTAAAAGAGGAAGTTGAGTAAACGCTTCTAAAGGAAGATAGTCGAGTACATTGAACGATAGAGTTAAATGTTTTAGGCCAGGTACATTTATAGATAATAAGTCAACAGCTTTCAAAGAATTATTTTTAAGGGAAAGTGTTTTTAAATTGTTCAATCCTAGAAATGTATCATTATCAATATGTTGCACCTGGCAATTGTCTAAATATAGAGAACTAAGTGGCAACCCTTGTTGAAAAATATTCTTGTGTAATATTTTAAGCGGATTGTGTGAAAGACTCAAACTTCTTAGTTTTTTTAAAGTATCGAAAGCCATATCGAATATAAACCTAATCACATTATGTGAAATATCTAAGTCCTCTATTTCACTTAAGCCGAAAAATGTGTAGTTAGTAATATTACTCAATAAATTGTACTGTAAGTCTATATAGCGTGCAGAGCTTAAGTGTTGTAATGAGAAATCTTCTATTACTGAAATGTCGTTACCATTTAATTCCAGCCTTGTTACAAGACTTAAGTTTCGAAAAGTGTTCTTTGTTAAAAATTTCAAGTGATTATTTTTTAAACTTAAGTAGTCTAGCTTATTTTGTGATTGCATTACAAAATTGCCTATTAACGATAATGAATTAGACTCTAAATGAAGTTTTACTAACTTTGAATTTAATTTTGGTAAAATATCGTTTATAACTATGAGATTATTATAATGTAGGCTAAGATACTTCAATTCAGTCATTTCTAAGAATGTTCCAGTATCTATAAAAGTAATCTCGTTGTGGTCTAAGTATACCTCTTCCAATTTTTTAGATTTTATAAAATAATGTTTTGTTATCACTTTAAGTCTGTTGTTATTCAATCTTATTTCATTTACGTTTTCTAGGGTTCCTAACGTGTCATTATTAAACTCTGAAAAATTGTTATTGTCTAATCTTAGTTTCAGAATATTCTTATTATTTATAAAAATATTATGTGGCACTTGATTAAGGTAATTAAAGTCTAAACTAAGCCTACTAAGATTCAATAAGTTACTAAAGCTCTCACTATGAATGTTACCAATACAATTTTTATCTAAATGTATTGCATTAATTTTCTTGGAATTAATAAAAGAGTCTATTGGCACATCCAAAATATTATTATGACTTAACACTATTTCTGTGAGATATGGTAAATTACAGAATAAACCGTGGATGTGGTGCAAATGATTATGACTTAAATCTATATATTCTAAATAATTATTGTTCTGAAAAATATTGGGGTTTAAAATTTTAATCCTATTGTGACTTAAATCAAGAGACTGTAAATTAACTAATGAGTGAAAAGCTCTGTAATGTATGTTGTTAATGAAATTAAAATGAAACGATAATGTTGTTAGGGACGGACAAAATTTGAGGCAGTCTTCTGAAATAAATTCAAAATTATTTGAACTTAGGTCTAGATACTCTAGAGATATTAAATCAGAACTGACTATTATTGGGAAAGAAGACATTTCGTTCCATGATAATCGTAAAGATCGAAGATGTCTTAATTTTGCAAATGCCTCTATTGGAAACGTTGTGAGATTATTTTCACTCAAATTTATTTCAGACAGAGTTAATTCTAGACTAGAAAAAGCTGATTCAGATATGTCATGTATGACATTTCCTTTTACGTCCAACTTCATAAGCGGAAGACCATAAAAACTGTAACTTGGTATTTCTTCGATGTAATTTGATGTAAAGTCGATCGACATAAGTTTGAGCAAACCAGATAAGGCTTTTTGCGGAATAGTTTTTATTTTGCTGGATACGATGCTTAACGTCTCAAGACATCTTCTCAGAGGCATAAACATATCATCGCCAATATCTTTTATACTTGTTCTAGACATGTGAATATGTTTTATGCAAACTCCTTGAGGAATAAAATGAGGACCCAGAGATTCTTCGTTGTCGTCGAGGTTATAAACAGAAAGTGAATGTATGTCAGACACACTCTTAAGTGCATTTTTTATGTCTTTTGGGTCAGTATCTTGACAGTCAAGAAACAAGCCTGAAAATAATTTTATAATTAAATTACTTTTGCGTTTCAAACGACATATGAACAATGAAGCTCTCTTACCGTCTTCAAGTGTATAGCAGGAGCATTTGTTAGTTTGTATTAAGTCAGGGCACCCCAAGGTATTTTGAGCTCGCATAACGGCGGGTAGAACCAGTAGTAGTAAAACAATTTGCGAAACGTCATGGTCATTCCTCCTTGTCTTAAAGAATAAAACTTTTTTCATAGTTACATTATAATGTTTTTTTTTTACATTTTATTGTTCCTCTTTACCTGAAAAAAAAGTTCCTATAAAGTCCCAAACCAGCATTGTAATCATTTTAATACACTGTACCAATATTATAAAAAAAAAACAATTCATCATTGAGAAACTTCACTCATCATTAAATAACTTTTCTAATCCGGATGCTGAACAGACTGGAAAGATATAGGATGTGTGCTAATATGCTTAAACTACACAGCAAGCTCTTCAGTATAAGCATATTAGTATATGACAATGGAAATTACTCATTGGGATCACGGAAGAGGAAATCCTTGTACCTTAACAATATGTATCTAGTACTTAAGCGTAATACACCGATGAAATTTCATCAGACCACAGTTTCACATTAAGTGGATATTGTTCTATTCAGTAAATTGAGAGCTTCTACGTGTTGCATTTGGGTTTGTCAGTAAATGGCTATGGAAATTATATGGTTAAACTGGTTAACAAGAGTCAGTAAATTATTATTTGTAAAAATTAAATACATCTACTTTATTTTCAATTTCATTATTTGAAATACAAAGAATATATTTTTTTTTTATAATTTTATAAAACCATCGGAAAAGGTTACTAAAGTTAAACAAGTTTAAAATAATAATGAAACTAAAGAGTAGTGATAAAAAAACACAATAAAAGCTGTACAAACGCAGTTTTATAATATCAAACTATTTTCGATAAAAGTTGTTCAAAATATTTATACATTTACCCAGTAAGTTTTCCTTTGCGCTGACATACGCAACTGACAGCTAATTACAAAACGGTGTTATCCAAGAGGACATAGAGTCCATTTTTGCGTTGTAGCCCTCCTGCTAGGGGCTGAGACCGAAGTGCGCCTGTCTCCAACGTACGAATGTTCACCACGCGTGAAACAAGCTGAATTTCAATCACGTTTAAGTTTTATCGTTTCCTGTGGCTTCAAATTTGCCTTAACGCGCAACACAGAACGCCTGGGGTCATTAGAAAGCTCGACAGAAGACTGCCGCGGCGGCGCGCGCTGGGTAGGTCACCGCCGTTGTTGCGGCACCCCCGACCCACTATTATTATACTTTTATGACGAATCGGATTTTGCTACCGAACAACCGGCGTTTTGTACTGACGTGATCGCCTAAGTGTTTATCGTGCACGTCATGACGTATAAATTTTCTTGTTGCGTCGACACATTTTGTTCATATTCCAACAGTTTATAAATACTGTTACGTTAAAAATCATGCCGCATACTCAAGTTATAAATAGGTTATTCATAATTATTTTACATGTGAATGAAAAGGCTCGAACGTGTTTATTGTATCCCTTTTTCTATATAAAGCAACAAAACAAAATGGAATGTTCTAGTAAAGAATTTGTAACCCGGGCCAATAAAATGACGGTTTTCGAACCCAACCTTGAAGTTTGACGTTGCATTGTCGAATAGTTGGTAGTAAATTCATAGCTATATATGGTAGAACTTTTGTTGGAAATCTAGGTCACGTAGCAACTTATGAATATTAGAACACACGAGAAATGTATTAGAGCCTAACCTTACCTCATAACAAAAGGGAGAAAGTACGTTCGAATATAAAATACAATCTTCCTAAATTATTTTTCTTTTCTACGTTTTCGAATAAACTTTTGGGTAAAATTTGTTCTTATAACCAAGAAATAAGGTCTAAATCGGTACAATCATTAAAACAGCTTCCAGACTAGTGGGTTTTGGTCATGTATGAGTACCGCACGAAACCGATGGCCATTTTCTTATTCTATTTCTCATTTAGTCACCTGTATTTTTATATGCTCTCTTCTATTACGTGGCCTCTTTGTTATACTCGTAGAAAGTGTTGTGTATAAAGAAAACCTGTTTGTGTTTCACTTTTTGTACCTCTATCCCTACAGGCTCATACAATTATTGAGAAATTGTCCAACTACGTTCAACAAATTACCATTATATAGAATGCTACCGCAATTACTTCTTTTAAGTTTGACATATATTAGTTATGTAATTAAGTTTAAAACTTATTGAAGAGACCAAAGTCCAGCACTATTGCGATAGGCTATATCGTATATCATCGTCCCGAACTCCTATAGTTTGTGCATGCGATCCCTAAAAAAGGTGAGCGCTCTGACCCGTCCAACTACAGGCCTATAGCCATAACTCCTTTGTTCTCTAAAATTATGGAATCCAGCCCCAGCTCCTCCGGTACTCAGATGATCACCAGCTACTCAATGACCGACAATATGGTTTTCGCCGGGGTCGCTCTGCTGGTGATCTTCTCGTCTTTGTAACACAAAAATGGGCACAGGCGATCGAGACCAAAGGAGAGACCTTGTGCGGTTAGTTTAGACATAGCGAAAGTCTTCGATCAGGTCTGGCGCTTCTCTTGAAGCTCCATTCCTATGGGCTTCCCGAGAAATAGTATAATTTGATCATCAGTTTCCTTATGGACAGAAGTATTAAGGTCCTTGTCGACGGTGCATGCTCCGACTTGAAATTCGTAAATACTGTTGGGACAACAGCTGCAACTTTCCGCCATCGTTTCACACGGCAAAATTTTCATCCTCTTCACCTGGATGGTTGGCGCCCACAACCAATGGTCACTTTCATTCAGATCCCGTCTGCCCCCTTTAACATAAGAAAAAGGCTAATGATGTGGATGATGATCAATATCCATCTTTATATCTTATTTTATTTATTTATATAAGTAATAAAACTGTCATTTTGCAGTCGAGAAAAAACTTTCTGGTTTTATTTTTATTAGCACCAATGACGAAATGTATTATGCCGCATTACCCTACTTTTCTATCGTGAAATAAATAGGGCGTGACATATAAAAATCATATTGACGTTTATAGTTACGTACGTACGAAAAACTCTTGCAGAGCAAATATCACGAACCAAAATTTGTTTAGGTACGAAAGTGGCTGGCGAACATGGCCAGAACCTTACAAACAAATTACTGCTTTATTTGCGTACGTTGAGATTAAGTGTATAAAAAGCTTGAGCCTTAGCACGAAACACAGAGTCACGTCAACATAAGGCAACTGCCATGAATATGATTATTCTCGTTTTGCGGAGTACACGGTTTATAAACTAAGGTGGGTAAGCAATTAGAGCGTTCGTCGTTAGCTACTAAACTTTGTGCTAGAAAAGCAAAGGAACTTACGAACTAATGCAACTCAGTTCAATTAGTTTTTGTTAAAATAGAAGAAAGTCGATCGATATGCCGCAATTCAGTTGCGCTATTTGTGATCTAATGTTCCTCCAAAGTCTCGGGAATCTCCTCGGGAATGTAAGTACGGTCTATCTGACCGTATTTATATTACCGAGGTGCTGGGTACACCTTTATAAACATTAATTATAAATTATTTTTACTAATTTACTAATCCTAATTTATAATATTGATATAATATACAATAACAGTAACTACAAAAGTATGGCGTCGTCCGTCATTGTTGTTTGTGTAGTTAAACAGTTTAGCATAACTGGACTTCCCATAGCCAAAAATAACCCCTCATTATCTTATCAAAGGGTTCTACGAATTCCTTTCTTTTTTTATTCAATTAAACTTCAGCTTTATTTGAAGTCACATTAATATTTCTTAAACTTTTTTTTCTGTCTGTTTATATAAAGTCGAGGAAACAACAACAAATGTTTACTATATGGTATCTGGGTAGCCCAACGTTGCAGACTAGGCGTTAGTCTGACACTTCGCCGAAGCTTCTTGTAAATTTAGATCGTTGCGCCAACCCCAAACAGCATTTAGGTCAACATACTACGCTTACGGCCACCAAATGTTCCAAATGTGCTGAGACATACGGTTTCTTTACAATGTATGAACTCTAGCAATCCATTTATGTTTTGTAAGGAATACTAATAACGTTATTAGCATTTTATACTTCACCACTACAAAATTTTGAAGTAGAAAAAAGTGCGTTGAAATTAGCCAAGGAAGGGACCGCAAGATAAGGTCGGTTTTTATCAACGAGAGGGACAGTATGGGCTTAAGTGTATGAGATTAGATAAGATGTTAACTGATCATAATTCTGAGGATGAGAAGAGGGTTCAGCTCATTTATTATAATTGCGATTTTCGATCAAAAACCTATATTTTTTATCGCATGCATTTAATGCCAGCAAACAATCTTTTTTTATAATAATATATTTTTATAGATATTGTAGTAATACAGTTGGGATTATTAGTTACTTGGTTTGATTTATTTGTAACCCACCGCTGCACCTTGTCTATTCTTCGGTAACAGTAGGTACTTATTTCTGGATAAAAGATTCTTTATGATATTTGCTGTGACGTTAACAACATTTAGCTAAAAAAAGTTGATGTTTGGATCAGTAAGTATTGTAAAGAAACTAACAAATTCACTATAACATCTATACTATTAGTAAGATTAACTATCTTAAAATATTTGTGAAAAAATTATTATCAGTGTGTGAAATTGATATTATCACGTTCATGTCTCTATCTATCGATTTTTATAGCGGCCTTCTACAACTCAAAATACCGTTAGGTACGTAGCACTTAACAAAAGTGCTATAAAATCATACTTCCTGTTATCTATTACTTACGAGTTATTTAATCATTACTGTCGGAAATAAATTTATTATAAATATTTAACATAAAGCTTAATAATATCCATTACCATATGTTTTTTTGTAATGTACTTATTATTTATATTTGACGGGTCTGTTGGTCTAGTGGTTGGTGACCCTGACTGGGTTTGATTCTCAGAAAGGACAGGTAATTGTGTGATGAGCACGATGATTTGTTCTATGTCTGGGTGTATTTTTTCTGTAATATGTATGTATTTAGCAATATATAAGTATGTTTATCAGCAGTCTGGTTACCATAGCACAGGTTCTGTGTGAGATGTGTGAAGATATTATTATTATTATTAAATAATATGTATTAAGCTACTGATATAACATACAAATTTGTATACCTACCACATAAATTAATACCTGCTGCAAGTACAACC